CCCCAAAACCCCAAAACCCCAAAACCCCAAAACCCCAAAACCCCAAAACCCCAAAACCCCTCAGTAATTAAAAATATTGAACTTTTCTGATAAATAAGAAGGATTTTGCGCCGTATTTTTTTCTTTAAAATTCCAATTAGAACGTAATAGTAGAAAATTAAAAAAATTTGGTTAGCTAAGAATCTCTTTTTGTTATTAATTACCAATTACCTGGGTCATAAGGAGCAGGATTTCCCCCGAGGCTTTCCACTAGCTCATCCTTCTCAACATTTCTAGAGGATACAAAATCAACGATGTACAGATGGAGGCTTGTCAGATACTCGTACATTTGCTTGTAGAACTTATCCCCATTCTGGAGAAGATTCATGTTGTCATAGTAAACTTTTAGACCAGAATCAATACTCTTAAAGAACTGTGTCTTCTCATTATCCTCAGATCCTGAGACTAACTCAGTAAAAGAGATCATATTGTCATCAATAGTTGAAAGAATCTCAGAGGATTTGGTTTGTTGGGTATCGAAATCTTCCTCATTAGTTTGAAGCTTAGACAAATGAGAAGAGAAGGCTTTCTCTCTTTTCATTTCTCCAGCATTCACTTTGAAGAGATCTCTTCTCAGATCGGCTGAGCTTAGAGCTCCGGTCATTTTTGCTATAAGACCTTCTCTTTCTCTCTTAAGGTTGTTCAACTGTTCTATAGCCTCTTCAAGGTTAGCGATGCATGGAGAACTTGAGGTATTAGCACTCTTAGATTCAGGCATTTGCTGGGTCAACTCATTACGAGATAGTTGAAGATATTGCATTTTTGGTTTAATAGCTTCGACATTTGACTCGACAGTTGCATCTGTCTCCATTGCTTTTTGCAAATTAGCATTGTAAGATTCAATTCTGCTCTTCATCTCTGAGTTTAGAGAAGTGCTAGGGAGTCTATTCCAAGACTTTCCATATGTAGCTTTCAAGGCTGCATCCTCTTGCTCTTCATCCATAAGAGATTTTTGACATTTTTGGACAAGATTTAAACAATTTTCTCTATTTAGCTTCACCCCACTCAAAAGACTTTGAAGATATGCAAAGTTTCCTTTTTGTTGGAACTCGCTCACTCTATTCCATAAATCATCTGGTATCTCCTGCTTATTGGAGATGGAATAAATCGCTTGTGGGAGACCGAAGCTTGTTAAGAAGTTATCCTCATCTGCTGAGAGCTTTAATAAAGTCTCAACATTCTGGTTAATAATCTGATTCGCTTCTTGGTGAAACTCAGCTTCTAACTTCCTAACTCCCATAGGGAGGAAGACTTCAAAATTCTCACCACCTGGGAATTCAGAATCTAGCTTAACCTGGATACTTCTGTGAAGTGTATAATTCTTGCTTTCAATCTTATCTAGCTCATCCAGAGAAGCACATCCTTCATAGTAGACATTCTTGTTTATTTCCTTCGCATCTTCATACTCCTTTTTGATATTTTTCTTTCTGTCCTTCAAAGCACTTTCTGTTCTGGGATTATTGGTCGAAGCTTTATTAATTAGAGCAAGGGCAAACTTGAGGTGACCTTCAGCTTTGCCCATACCACCTCCATTATCTTCAGCACCATCCTTTATCTCTCTCCCTTTGAAATAATGAGCAATAGCTTCATAGTAAGTGATGTAGAACTCAGTGTTCGAGAGAAATCCTCCTTTCTTAAGCACTTTACTAGGTTTTCAATAATTTGCTGCCTCTTCAAAGAAGGTTTTCAGTTGATATGCAATCTTAGCACATACACCAGGGTTCATTGAAGCACTCTCTGCCTTCTTAAAGAAACAATACTGAGATTGGGCAAGCTGGATGGTAGAATTAAACATCAAATTCTCAACAGTGAAATCATGAGATCTTTCAGAAGGTTTCAACCCATCTAAATTTTTCCTGATATGATCAAAGAGCCAAGCTGCTTCCTGAAATTTCTGGGAGACGTCCCTAATAGCATCTCCCTCAAGAGGGGTATAAACACCAATATTGTTCATTACAGCTCCAAGATTATACAGAATTGAGTTGAGCTCAAGCTGAAGGCTACCTTTTCCCTTAATCTTCTCATTCGTTTGTGAATCCTTCCAAGGGAAAGCAAGCTTAACAGTGTCTTCTTTGGATCCAAAGGTGAACTTCTTTTCCAAGAAGCGCATCCCAATATAGTAATCAAGGAGTATTTTCTCGTATTTCTCCATGAGTAGGACATCATCGAGAGAATCCATATCGGCGATCTCAGTCCTGTAGTCCTGAAGGTCTTGGATCTGACTCTTGATGGATTCAAACTCTCTTGGACCGAAGTTCCTAACAGCATAAGATTCTACTGCATCAAACAGAGAGATATCTTCTGTCTTCCTGTACTGAATGGGAAGCATCTTTAATTCTGGATTATTAATTATTTCTATATTTTAACTAAGATTTGGGGTTTTGGGGTTTTGGGGTTTTGGGGTTTTGGGGTTTTGGGG